CCTTCCCTTCCCTTCCCTTCCCTTCCCTTCCCTTCCCTTCCCTTCCCTTCCCTTCCCTTCCCTTCCCTTCTCTCATTTCCTTTTTCTGGAACAGTACATCAAAGCCTCAACCTTGAGGGGATTCGGTTTGAACTCAGACATCTCCATCTTATACGGAAAGGGCAAATGATCCCCTTAGAGCGGAAGGTGAGGATTTGCATACAGAGAGGTTCTTCCCAAAATGCAAGGAAGGAAAGATGATGAGGGGGAATGCAAGTGGCTGCTTTCCCCGGGAAAAGCGGCACAAACTTTTTGAGAAGAGAGCTCGTTCCTCCAAGTAGGGAGGTTATTTTGTTCTGTATTCAGAAGACACAATCAAAGTCGGGGAAGGGTTTAAAGCAGTGTTTCACAACCTTGGCAACTTTGAGACATGTGGACTTCAACTCCCAGAATTCCCCAGCCAGGGAGTTGGAGTCCACACGTCTTAAAGTTGTCAAGGTTGGGAAACACTGCTTTAAAGACTTGCCTAAAGACAGAGAGGTGGAGCTTTTCCTCTTGGGAAACTAGCAGAGTGGCTCCACTCTGCCCTGGTCTTGTTGGCAGCTAAAATGGTGGTACTTGTTGGATCTGAGCCCTTTCCCACAGCCCCCAGTCTCTCATGCAAGATGGCTAGGACTACATCAATCAGAGCAAGGAACAGCATGGAAAATGTTGGTTTCTGCATGGAGTCATGGTGTTTGGCAACTGGCTACCAATACTGGCATACAAATGTCCCTCATTGTTCTTGGATACTGGGAGAATCAGGTTTTCCTCATGCTTCATGCCCTTGCCTCACACCCCTTGCTTTCTCACTCTCTGCTTCTGTCCCCTTTCCATGGTAAAAGGGATTCACCAAGTAATTTCCCATGACTGATATTCACTTCCTGCATTCATCTGGATCTTTCAGCACCACCAATGTTGGAGTAATATCTTCATGGATCATAATACCCTGAATGTTCTTTGTTGCAAGAAGCAGAAAGTGAACATCTTTTCTCTTCCTGCCATGTCCTTAATGTCTTTAATGAGTTGAGACCTCCTTGTAAATACACTCGTTTTCACTGGATCCCATTGTCTGGGATTAACTTAGAGGAAAAAAACTCTGAGATCCTTGAACCAGTGAGGACATTAAGTCTGGGTAGACAGAAGAACAAGCCATGTTTGGAGGAAGGAACCAGGACCAGTTTCTGTTGCACATGGACATACAAAAGATGGTTCAGGGCGCAGTTGAGTGACCATACATACAAACACACAGATAGATGTTTGCACACACCCTGCCCCCAAGCACATTGAGGGCACAGAAAACTAACCTGAAGCTCTCTTTCTGGTTACCTTTTAACAGCATTTCTAACTCCATGTTCATCGCTACATCCTGTTCCCGCAAGGATGGAGTTTAAGACACAGAAATGATCAACATTAAGAGTTTGTTTTGCTTTAGAATAGTTTGTATTTATTGGGTTTTAGTAAGCGACATGTGAATTCCTGGGTGCCTCACCAGGCAATGTCTTTTTTTGGTTTTCAGTTCATTTGCTAATAACTCAAATATTTAAAATAATATGTAAAGAAACCCACTTATTACTAACTACTTAGCAAAAATAAAAACGTGCCTTTATGAGCAAAGGAAAGGCCACATAAGCAGATGAAACCATGCACACAGGTGGTTTCTGAGAGTGGTCAGTGCAGACACATCCAGCCTCAGCCATAGTAATCCACAAATCCATAAGACAACTCCAAATCAACTATCTGTAAGCACCAAATGCGATTAAAAGATAGTCTGTGAAAAACTGATTGCCTGGCCAGTCTTTTCCCTCCTATTGAGTAGAAGATCTCCTGGCCATGCTCTACTGCCTCAGTTTGCCTGGAATTAGAAAGAAAGTGGCTTACGTTGACCTTGGCATTCACTGACTGGAATGGACTGTCTGGAGTGCTGTGAATTTGTGCAAATCCCATCCCACACACTGTTTTGTGCAATTTTAAACAGAGATAGATTTGGGGAACACAGTGTAGAATCTGCTCATCCCCCATTCTTGCAGGCAACAAAATGCTCAGCATTGATTCAAGCACAGGATGAACATAGCAAGGCAATTGAACAAGATGCTATTCTGGTTCAGTGTGGGAGCTTAACTTAAGTATGCACACATACAGAAACACTCATTCACAGCTCATCTACTCATTGTAATATTTAAGTTTCACATGGGCACACCTGCACTATAAAAGTGTAACAGCAATAGTAATTAAATACTTGGCTTCCTTCTCTGCAAAGCATCCTGAGAACTGGAATTTGGTGGAAGGTCCTGTTAGAAGTTTCAAAACTTCAACAGAAAATTACAATGCTCAGAGTTCCAAGGGAAGAGGGAATGACAATTGCTTGCTTAAGCTTTTGGTGCAGATATGTTCAAAGTACATGAAGAAATGTACTGTCCCGCCAATGCATGTTCTCTCTCTTTACTGTAGTTCAGGGCAAACTACATGTTTGATTTGCCTCTAGGAAAGGAACATCCACTCATATTCACAAATAAAAGAAACAGTACATGAGCAAATATCTTCATGCACGCACTTCCCCAATCTGCCAAACTATCTTACACATTAATAAAACAGGGTAAGCAGTTTATCTTATGATTGCTGTCCACAAGAGTTTCAGTATGAGAGCTGGAGGAAGGGAATGAAGTTCCAAATAGCAAAATACCGCAATTGGTAAAAGCTTCTTGGTCTGTTTTTCACTGTGCTCATAAGTAGTTCAAGCAGCAGAGCAACCTCAGAGAGCTGGAATCCACATTGGAAGAGTACATGAGATCCACCTATTTCAGTTTTACCTGCTTTCTTCTTGCCAAAGCCTAGACCAAAAGTGAGTCATAGGTCAAAAGTGAATCATAGGTACAGCCTTCTCTCCTTTCCACCTTAGTCACAACCCCTGGTCATCCATCTCCCCCCCCTTTTTTTTTCACCATCAGGAACTCTTATTTTCAAGATAGTTCTCACATTAGTTGGTGGCCACAATGTGAGTTCAGTGTGTGCCTGACCAACCAATATGAGAAAGAAGTGGGAAGGGAAGAAACCAAAAGAAAAGCACCAGATTACTCTTATGGAGAGAAGATGTGCTTGGTAATCTCAAGAAGCATAACCCACTTACCACTTCAAAAATTTCTGCACCCAGCTCCATAGTTTGGTGATCCACAGGTTGACCCCAAGGTCTGTCAAGTATTGGATTTCAGGGGTAAGCATCTTGCGGCAAAGCTTCCGATGCTTTTTGTTAATCCTCTTTTTCAAATTGTAGCCTAAGATGGAGTTCTTACCCAGTGGCTGCCATGGCTGCATGGCAGATTCCTGAATGGAACTGGCATCCACAGGGTGGCCTCCATCGATGCAGATACTCTTCATCTTCTCATTCTCTTCCTTAAGTCTGGCTACATCCTTAGCCATCCTTGCCATCCCATATACTTCCACTTTATGCCAGAAAGTGGCATTGAAGTACTGGTAGAGTTTGGTATCTATTAGGTTCCAAACTGTGGCCTTTTGGTAGAGTTCATCTGTCAGCTTTGAGACTGTGGAGCCTTTGCGAATATTGAGCTTGAAATACAGAATGTCTTCCAGCTCCCAACATAACAAGTCCTTCAGAAGCACCAAAGATTCATCAAAGTACTCCAAAAGCATGACCAAACTGAAACGTTCATCAATCTCATGAATATACTCTTCAACTAAGGGGCTGTTGGGATCCATGTTGTTGTCATAGCCTAAGTCAAAGAAAAGGAGATTCTGGAGGTAGTGTGCATTGAACCCGTTAGGATCATAGTAATGCCGAGGATCCCTCAGGAATTCAGCCAGCTTATCATCTCCCAACTTCCAGGTCAAAGGAATGATGCTCCCAAAGTAATGGAAAGTAGACTCAAAGAGGTAGGCAGGGTCCCGCAGCACTGTCACAAAGACAGTGTCAGCTGGCAGTAACTTGCGCACTTCCTCATACTGAAAGCGCATGTGGTTACAAATGATGTTGAAGCACATGCCAGGCTGATAGTTCTTCACCAGGTTCCGTTCAAAAAAGGATGGGTAGTGGAAATCATTACGTCCATTGGGGAAGGCGAATTTGAGGTGGTGTTTCTCCCCAAAGCGGAAGAGAATATTCAGGATGGTGCTACTAGCTGTCTTATGGGTCTTCATGAACATGATATCTAGTTTGGGGAGACATTTTTGTCCTGGTGGGCCCTGGCTACTATTTCCTGAAACTGATAGCCGGGCCTGGGTGCGGTAGGAAGAGCATGAATAAGGGATGGGAATCCTGGGGAAAAAAATGAGGAAAGACAAATAAGGATTTTTCCTGAATTCAGGAGAAACATTCACTACCTTTCTTATGTCTACTTGGCAAAGGTTCTAGACCTGCCATTGGCTTCCATGCCCTATCAGTAACGTTGGAAGCAGCTCTTAGTCACAGGAGGCATCATAGACAGTAACACTACAGTTTTTGTTTGCAATAAACAACACAGCACAGCTCCTTGCAAGCAAAATTAGCATAGTAAAATCAAAGGAGAATATGTCCACACTACCTTTTCTCTGCAATGGCACAGTATTCCATTTTTGTCAGTATTTTGCTTGCAAGGAGTTTTCAGACCAAAGACAGAGAGAGATGGAGGGAGAATATATCTCCTTTTGAAGTGATAGTTTTATTATCTCAGGTGTCTACCAGTGCATGTTGTTTCATGAATATAAATTGTTCCAAATGCTTTCTGTGGAAGATCCCTGCAAGACTAGTTCAAAATGGAAAATGCAAGGCTTCCCCATCACTTCCTGCACCTGCATCATCTCATACATGCCAAATTCACTCACTCTGTCATGCTAACTTGTAAGGGTGGAACAGCATAGGAGTACAGAAGCAGCATGAAGCTAGTGAGAAGGGTTCCCAGAACAAGGCCTTTACACATGGACTTCCAGTTCCTCCCCTGGGGCAACATTATGAGCATCTGAAAGAAGAAGTTGAGAAAAGGGTTGGTTAATTCACTTGACAAATTCCTAGATAAAAGAACAAAGAAGGCTGCTTAATACAAAATCAAGCCATGATCTATCTGGATTAATACTGGCTTAGCAACTGGCTGACAACTGCTCTTCAGGAATTCGGGTTTTTCCCAGCCCAATCTGAACATGCAGAGATTATCCTTATACAAAAAGCTGAGTTGTCGTCCTAGAAGTGAGTCAAAGAAAAGAGGGATATGGAAAAGATGGCACAGGATGTCAGTATGTAAGCAAGCATGTGAAATTTTGGCTCATCAGAACTACATTAAAATTATGAATGGCGTGGGTAAAATATAATCTGGATCCTCTTGCACTGGATCATTGCTGGGATTATCATCTAAGCACTGTAAAAATCAGAAGCATTTGTTATGGGGGACTAATGACAATTTGATAGTGTCAGGCCTGAAAGGCAGGGGTAACCCTACATTCCCATTATCCACCTCCTATAGGTGGAAGGGAGCAAGGCTGAGGAACAAGGTGGATTTTCTGATTAATAATTTAAACTAGGGAGAAGGCAGCAGCACACATAAATACCCCAGGCCATTTGCATTTTCTAGCTGAGAGGTATTTTCCCATTTTCTCCTTACAGGTCATGCAGCCCACCAACCATATCAGGGTCTTCTTGGAGTGGGGGGGTCTCACTACACAAAGATACCCACACGCACACAATTTGCCAGCCTGCGCCCCACCGTCTGCTTAGCAGAGAGCAAAGAAGAGAGTAAAAGGCTACAGCACCTGCCTATAGCCAGCAGGAGTCCACGGGAATCAACCTCTAGTTTTCCCCAGAAGCTCAGCCGCTGGACCGGAGGGAATGCCTGCTGGTTTCCAAGACTGTGAATGCCTGAGTACAGGAGAACAACTGCATTGCAGCAGGACTGTCCTCTGTGACAGGCCAAGGAGATGTGTTTCCAGGGCCTGCAGGAGCAGCAGGGCTGGGACAGTCAAAGCAGGCCGGCAGAGATCTGGGAGAGGCCCCATTTCTTGACTCACAACTGGAAAAGTTCTGGTGGAGGACATGGTTTGTGAAGGCTAAAGGAAGAAGATTCTGCATACGGTGCTTTCTGTTCACAGATCCTGGTCCATATACAAAGAGTAATATAATCTCTTTTGAAATCAGCTCAAAAGAAAGACGTGGACAGAGATATTTTCCAGCCTTGTTGTTCCATAGTTCTTCACAACTTACAACAGAGTGTAGAACGCAGAAGCTAGAGATCTAGTCCCATGTTTACTTTGAGCCTCAAAACATACAAAAACTGCCATATAAATCCTAAAATAGCCCCCCCAAAAAAAACCAACAAAAAACACTACAACTTTTCCAGAAAACCTAGTAAAAAAACAAAATGTTGGCTGTACCCTGATGCATGATATAGTCCCAGTGAACTGTCTAGTATTTTTCTCATCTTCCCCAAAATGTCCAGTGTTACAAAGCGAGGGCCACATGGTAGAATATCGTTAGTGTGCATATTTACTAGACCACTGTGATGGAATGGTTTGATGGAGGCCGCGCTTGGAGAGATAAGCATTTCCTTAGCCCCCAACAGGAGCGTGGGAAGGTTAAGAAGATGAGATTGGCACCATCCCAAGGAATCCTCGGTGTTTTGGCTTGCTGGCTTGGGAAGTTTAGATTCAGTCTGGAGAAATTTCTGTCTTTGAGGTGGAAGCTAATAAACGCAACAGAATGGTATCTATACTGTCTTGTGGAGTTCTTTGGGCTGAACCTGACAAGCACACTATAAAATGCTTGTGGTTGAGTTTCAAGAAGATGTGATTTGTGTAACAGACATTTGACAGCAGGTAGAAAAGTTGTACCTTGAACAGGGGAAGAGGACTAGTTTTGAGGTATTCAGAAACCATCGAGTGACCCAGTTATGAGGCCACCTACGACCCTAGTGTAACCAAAAGCTAATTAACATAGTGAAACGTACACCCCTCAGGTGGAAATTTTAGAAAACATAGAACATGCTAAGCTTATTATGGAATGTTAGTATGTAACATGGAATCAAGTGCGTCTGCGCAACTATGTAACCAGTTATGTTTTTTATATGCCTACTTCCCTATTTCTGAAAAGTATAAAGATTGATGTAACACCTTGCTCAAGGTTCCTCTCCTCAGAGAGACAGGACCCTTTTTGCTGAAGCACTTCAATAAAAAGAATAAAAGGATTCCCCGACTCGGTGTGTTGATTGGACCTTGTGTGCCGCATAGACGAACCTACCACTCTTTTGTGGCCAACAAAAGAATATAAAGTAGTAAAATCGCTACCAAAAATAATATTAGCGCTTTCCCTATAAACAAGAGGTATTGTCAGCCAGCATGCTTAATCAGTTCACAACTGACAATGAAGAAGCAAAGGTAATAGACAGTTTGTATTCTTGGTCTCAAGAATAGATAAAGGTGAACTATATGTTAGAGCTGTGTTTCTCATCCTTAGCAACTTTAGGATGTGTGGACTTCAACTGCCAGAATTCCCCAGCCAGCATCTTAAACATCTTAAAGTTGCTGAAGTTGAGAAACACTGTGCTAAAGAGGAGATTAATCCTGTGCCTGATGATAATCCATTGTTCTTTCATCAAGAAAAATCCTTTGATCTAACCCAGTCTAATCTATTGCATTGTTTTCTCCTATTTTTCTTAATTTTGCAGAGCATAGCTGTTTTTACTAATCTATCATCTGCTCACATCAAATGCCAAAGCTTACGAGTTTCTCCTTAGAGGTCATTACTTTGTGGGAGTCATCAACTTTTATTTTTTCCAGGAGCCAAATAACTGGTAGATCTTTAAATCCCTAGGACTCTTAATAAATATTTCCAAGCCTATAAATCAAAAGGATCCACCTTCTTTCTCTTTCCTGGGGTTCAATCTTCATTGCTATATATTACCAGTGATTTCCCTAGCTCGGAAGGGAAGCATCCTTATTTCCAGTTGCAGCTTACTCTGGGAAGGCTTCATGAAAAGGTTTCCTCTCCATCCTCAACTGAAATATCCTCTTAAAACTTGAGTTGCTTCCCTTTTACACTGCCCTGGTTTTCCAATTTCTTCTCCCCTTTTTCCTTGGTTGCCATTGAGGTTAAAGGTAAAGATATCCTCCAGTTGAATTCTGCATTCATTTAGTTTTCTTGGCAGCTTTATCAAAACCCAGTAGTGTACCATTGTCTTGTTCCATAATACTTCAGGAGGCTTAAACGTCTGTTGGTCTCCTTAGCTATCAACCTGCCCCTGCCTGAACCAGCCAGCTCTTAGCTTGAACTGTTCCAGCAGTAAAGGTGAGCTTGTGTTTCAGCAATTACTGCCCCATTTTTATTCTCCTTTATGCTGATGATGCAGCCCTACTGTCTGTAATTCAAGTAGGCCTCTGAAGATGTCTTAAAGCTCTATCACTTTACTACTCTAGAGAACACCTTGAAATAAATTACAATTTCCACAAAGTTAGGTAAAGATCTTCATTAGTCATAAAAAAAAGGCCCAAGCCTTTTCCCATTGCTAAACTGAAGCACTTGCCATCTGTCCTTAAGATAGCTGATAATATACTGGCATTAAATTGGCTGGTCCCAAGCCGACCCCCTTACAGCCTTTATGGCTGATTTCCCCATTCACTGCCAAACTTCCCTCCTATAGATGACAAACCCGAATGGTTTTTAATACTCCTTAACCCTGCCCTTAGATGATGTTTGGTAAGGAGCAAAATACTATGTTAAAACTGGTACGGGTAGGGATGACTTAAACATGTCTCACTCATAACCTGGGGATGAGCTGAAGGCAACATCTTGGGGACACGGCAGAAAAAAAGGAGTTGCCAGGACACGTTTGTGCCACAGGTGTGTGCAAGTGGGGAAAGGCCCTTCAAGCTGAGCTCAGCTCCTAGTGATTTCATGAATACATCCATGCAATCTCTTGGCAACAACAGAAATGATTAGCCACTGACTTCTTCTGGGATCCTTGTTACTTCTCAGTGTAGTTTAGGTTTTCACTAGCTAGCTTCATTTACAAATATGCAAGCAGAATATAAGACACATCTTCAGCAAGCAGTAGCTCCCGAGAATATTTTAGTACCTCTCCCCACAAAAGTCTGTGTCCCTCATTTCCATCTTATTTCAGCTGTAGACTTTCAGCTTATGACATGGCCTGATTCGCACAACATGCTAAGCCATAATGTTATTTCTTCTTGCCTTAGCAGGTTGTGGGAGCCCAGCCATTATGATTGGTAAACTATAGTTTATAAAAGGACAAGCACCATTTTCTAGAACAAGGGCCACACATGCCCTTTGACTGGCATGTGGGGAGCCACATCAAAAAGGTAGTGGGCAGAGAGAGGTCTAAAACTGAATTTGAATTAATTCCACTTACATTAACAGTATCAAAATTAAATATATGGTTAATGGTTAACAAAGTTATTCTCCAGTCCTGTACAATAATATCTCAGTTCACGAACGCTTCTGTTCACGAACAATTCGGTTCAAACAGCACCGTTCGCAAAATTTTGCTTCCGTTCACGAACTCCGCATCGGGTGACAAACACGACCCATGGCCATCTTCCCTGCTCTGACAAGTGGTCGTGGCTTCCTGTAGGCGAGGGGGACTCTCCCTCCAAACA